TTCCAGGCTACAGGTGAAAAAACACATAATATCTGTCTTCTCTTAAATGCATTAAACACTATTCCAATCACATCAATTGAATCGGAAAGGGCATTCTCGGTGGCAAGACTTTTCATTACTAAAATAAGAATTAGAGTGAGTTATCGGAGTATTGACCATCTTTGCTTTTTAAAATCTTATAAAAGTTTGCAATATTTTGTATTATATTTTATTTAAAAAACGAAAATTACCTTCTAAATTAGAAGTTCATTTTTTTAATTTTTAACTCAATTCAAAACATTTTTTTTGTTGTTGTTGTATGCAGTTTCCAGCAAACTTTAATTAATTTTTATTCTATTTGTGAAAATTTCTACGTTATTTAAATGTAATTTTTATTATAGGCCTATAGACTTTACACAGCATTATTAATATGATTTTGGAGGTTACAGAACTTTAAAATTACTTTAAAAAATCGAAAATAATTATATCATTTCATTTCATGATATTTTGTATACCTTAACAATAATTAATTGTATCCCGGGATTNAAATAATTTCGGACGATACAATAGCCACGATTATGTTTCTCAAAAACGGGAAATTCTCGTTAGGCATCGACAAAAATTCAACCCGGGCCGACGGGTTGCAACGGAGAGAAATTTCGAAATTGGATAGGTTAAATTAAGTATGAGTTCCGAAGTAGTTCTGGCAGCGCGACCTGGCGGGCCCGTGCGGAGGTAAGTGGACTGCCGTGCTCCGGGACCAGGGTTCGAGTCCCGGCTCGGGTAAGAAATTTAATAATAATAGATATTTGTGTTTACAGGCAACAGATGACGACTTGGACCGCGTCAAGGGGGGTNGTGCTCCGGGACCAGGGTTCGAGTCCCGGCTCGGGTAAGAAATTTGGTAATAATAGATATTTGTGTTTACAGGCAACAGATGGCAACTCCGGACGATTTGGGCCGCGTCGAGGGGGGTCGCGCTTCTTCTTGAACACCGAGCGTTGGGAAAAGCGCAAAATAAGCGTTTAGGCGCGGAGCCACGTGGGCGATTATTTTGAGGGCTATATCTCGCGAAGGGTCACATTTAAGGGTATGGTTCCATTGACCTTTATGCTCGCAGCGGTTTCTACAATTGGGGGGGGGCGCAAATCGCATCATACGGATCTAGATTCTTGCCCCAAATACGGCCTTGCCGTTTTAATCTCTAATTGCTCTCTGATTTTCAAGTGGAATTCTATTTAAGCCCACTTTTTATTCTTTCTTCAGCATGTTTTTATCGTTTCCCAGCTATTTTGGAGTGTATTTTGTCCGACACTTGTTTCATGATGTTCTTGGTGTTTTGATTATAAGTGAACTTGGACATTTTAAACTGATTTGTTTGGGTTCTTATTATATTGCCTCTTTCATATTTTCTAATTAGTCCTTCTATTGTACTCTTTTTATATGTTTCTTTGATTCTATTAATTTCCTTCTTCCTGTCTGGTACATTAGAGCAATATGAATACGCTCTTCTAATGAGCTGCTCTCTCGTGCTTCTGAATATACCACTCCCCAACTAGAAACTGAACTAAGCATCTCCTCTTCGAACATCCTATTACAAGGCCCTGGAGCCGTTACAAATCTGGTAAGTACATCGTAGTGTGTTGATAAAGCATGATAATGTGAAAAATGTATCTGTAATCTTTATCTACAATTCAGTCTCTACGGGGTGACACAATGAGATCTCGTACCACCTCAAAATCTTCCTAGGGCAGCCTCTGGTTCGGCCCGTGGAAAAAGTTCTTTCCAATTCGGCCCGGGGGCAAAAACTGTTTGCCACCCGATCTAGCCACGTTACTTTTTGAACATTTTTTTCCCTTTTGGATAACGTGGAACAGATTCCTTTTCCACCCGGCAGGAGGGAAATCACGACCCTTCTTTATCCTCCTGCAAGGAGGTAAGATGGCGATGTTGCAAAACTCTCTTAAGAACCCTCGACACGTGGGACATTGGTGGACTCTTCTCTTACAGCTGGAATAGATCGGGTGTCCAAACATGCACTGATAGATGGGAGACGGGTTCTCGTAGCACACCGGGCATTCTAATAACGATGTTAAAGCTGGGTCGGCCCACCAGTAACCAAGCGGTCTTCGTACCCTGAACACTAGGAATTCGGTCGTGGGTTCGCGCCTCGCTCGGACGGGCTGGCCACGTGGAGTTTTCCGGGTTTTCTCCACATATGTAACGCCTAAATAGGGGCCAGTTTTCCTTAAAAAGACCTCCGGGAAGGCCTCTCCCATAGGCAGATCGCCCAAATGTTGCATTGCCATAAGTTAACAAACAATTGGCACAATTTTATTGATCAAGTAGACACTTTTTCATACCATCCGAGTATTGCAATAAACGTGACAACGGTAAGCTGAAATAACAAAGATTAAAACCAATAGTTTTATATTGTAGTATTCGATTTATATTACGCAATGGCTTATCACACATCTTAACACATTTTAAAAATTCTCTATTCTTCTACTGTACACAATTTAAAGAATTTTTAAAATGAAACCCTCCGAACCCAGTCAAAACGGCAAAAAAATTCCGTGGACATTTGTGTCGACATGTATTTCGCTTAATATGCAACGACGGGGATGAAGATGAAACGATATTTGGCACAGTAGCTTGTATATAAAGGGCATGATACTAATAAATTTGGGTGATGACAAGTCGAGGGAAGGGGATAGAGGGTGGGTCACGTGTCATATCTCGCTCGGGATTGGGCTTAACGAAGATTTTTTTCGTTAGCATTTACACATCTTTATAAAACTCATCTCTACCCTCAAAACTGTCATTTGTTATTTTACAATTAAAGTTTTCGTAACAAAATCTTATAACGGCCGGGAAAGTTTCGCAACTCGTAATTTTTTTTCAATTTACGTTTCGTTAAGATTTTTTTTTTTTTAATTTAAAAATTGATTCTTCATGTTAAATAAGTACTTCGGGATTGTACTTACAATTTAAACGAGAATTATCAAAAGAATAATATCTACAGAAATGGTTGTCGTTTATTCTAACAAATAATTATTTAACAAACATTCGTTTATTGTTTAAACGCGTGAAATTTCGAGGTGAGGGAACTTTATATAAAGTTCATTAGAATTTTTATTCTGTCAAGACACTTTTACAATATAATAAATATTCTTACTTATTAAAATTTTAAAGAGAATAAACAATATTCTATCTCTTTTATTTATCTTACAGATAGAAATTTTATCGGGTATTTTTTTCTTTCTTTTTATTTTTTTTTATAAATCAAAATCTCATATCAATGAAGGAAATATTCAAACTCAATAAATACCAGACGCATAAACGGTCGTGGACATATATATATATATATATATATTTTTTTTGTTTTGGTCCTTCTTATACAATTTCACAAAACACGTTACACAAGAGACGGGAGAAGAAAAAAACAATCACTTCCTTATAATACTCGTGTGTAAAAAGAGGTTACGGCCATCTTACAAAATATGACGGTCACGTGCGAAATCTACCGGCGGATTTCGACGAATTATTTACACTTCCGTAGAAAAAAAAAACGGCCACATGTATCAATATATACGCATTGCACTTTTGTTTTGCATGCCCGTCGCGCGACTAATTACTTCCCACAAAAAAATTAAAAGAAAATAATGAAAAACGAGAAATATACAATATATTTTATTTATGGTTATTATTATTATTATTTTGCATATTTTATCTGTATTTTCGACCGGGTAATCAAATCGAGAACTTAACAACACTTATAAATTACGTAACGCTACAGTGGAAACACGTTTTTTTCCCCCCCTAAAGACGGGTGGACACTTCGGAAAAAACGATAACGAAATTAAAGGTGGAAAATTTGCGGCGGGTGGGCAAAACGGGAAGAAGAGGGAAAATACTTTTTCTGTGGTAAAAAAAAAAGTAAGTTGTATTCTTAAAATATTTCTTCTTTCCCCCCACCCGATAAAATTGTACCCTGGTTCGTCGCGCCGTTTTGATGCGTAATTATCAAAATTGACGATCGCCGGAACGACTTTCAGTTGTGTGGAAGAGGATGGTGGCGGTCTGTGATTACGATTCCGGATGATCGACGTTGTTGGTTTGGCGGTGGCCGTCCTCCAGAAGTAACACCGAACAATTAGTCTTTTCGTTTTCGTCCGGGCTTCGGTCTTGCGGGTCGGCCGAAGCGTTTTCTTTGTGTTCGTGTTCGTGGCAGACGAAGTGGTCCCCCTTTTTGTTAATGTTGACTTTGGTGCCGTGGTCTTTGCAGAAGGAATTCGGACACTCCGAGCACATGACGACGGAAGACTTGCCACATTCGTCGCAGTGGTGCCACGGGCATTCCCAGCGACCTGTGCGGCGGGCAATTACTTTTGAGTCGTTAAAACCATGACGATAAGTGAAGCGTGCAATGCCATTACGTTTTATCGAAGAATTCGAAACGCAATGTTTTCTGCTGCAAAAACAAATATCGTGGCCGCGGTGGCCTATTTTCAAATCGAATTTATGCGAAGCCGTGATGTTTAAAGCTCCGGAGTGCAAGTAACCCGACTTTTGGCGCTTAAAACGTTATGGCCTATATTTACGTCATTTCGATATTCCAGAGAATTTGTAATCCAGCAAATTTTTTTACCATTTTATTGTAAAAATTAAAACCAATTGGTTCGCTAGAAAAAGTGTTTTTTTTTTTACCTCTCCCGAAAAGTTTTTTGGCATCTACGACATTATGGCACTGCATGCTTCGAATAACTTTCACTTATTTATAATTTATTTTGTATACTAGTACTTTCTATATATTAACAGGACTTATTAAACTTTCACTTATGCTTTACTTACCGTAAGGTGGCTTACTTAAAGCTAGACAATTTAGATGATATGACTTGGGGCAGCTTTTTCTGTCGCACATGACCAATTCGCCTCCCTCTCCGCACCGAAAGCATTCGTCCTCGTGCTTCCTGGCCTGAGAACGCCTTTTCTTTCTCTTTCCCGCCGATTCTCTGGCCTTCTTGTCTTGAGAGGCGGCGACGGTCTGGTCAAACAGTGTTGTTCGTTAATGAGCGTCAAAAAAATAATAAAATTTTTGCCTCGGCATAAAGGGGGCAAAATACTAAACCAGCAGACTTACTTTGGGACGAACGCCGATGTAACCGCTGCAGATGGGAGCTCCGCAGGTGCACTTGGATTTTTCGTTTCCTCTACAGTCCAAGTTGTAATTGAACGTCAATTCGGTGCCTGTAAAGTCAATGATTTTAGAAAGTCTAAATTAATTTTAATTTTTAGCAGTAGTACTTAACTATGTCGAAGCATGGCATGCAAGATGCAACTTTTGTCTAAAAAGACGAGAAAAAAAATACCCGGCACATGTCAAAAAAAACATTTTAGGATTAAAATACTCTGCAACCACGAATATCCGTACTTGCAATTTGGGTGAATTACCCAAATTGTCTGTAAAAATGTTTTTTTTTTTTTTTTGCTATATCGAAACGGTATTGGTGTATGATATTTTTAATTGTAAATGACTTGTTTTAACTTCGCTTCTTCCATTATAAATAATAAAAGTGTACATTCTAATTTTACTTTTTTCAAACCGGTAAACGATAAAAAAAAATCTTGAAAATGAGTGCCAAAGATACAAGTAAATGAGCCACTAAATACTTTTTTAAATGGGGCGCATTTTTATATGCCATTAAAAGATGGGAATTTAACAAATTAAAGAAGCCATTAAATTCAATTTTTAAAACCACTTTTAATTTCGTTTTCGTGAGTTTGAATTTCATATCAATTAATTTTATTAATTTACTCTCCATTAATATTTATATTTGTCGAAATGAGGAATTTAAACAAATCTTTCAATAAGCTGCTCAACCTATAAAACAGACGTGGGCAAATGCGGCTATTGCTGAAAGTGTTAATTTCTGCTTTTTATTATTATTTTTACAATTTTATTTCCACAATTTTGTGAAAATATGTTTATTAAAAAAATTCAATATTTGTTTTATATCATATTTATATTATATAATAAAATCGCAGTACAGAATAAAAAAGTACAGAACCCACGTGTTTTGCAAAACCTACATTTCGGCTCCCACTGAACTCTTGCTTGCCCACCCTTGCTATATACGATGATAATGGCTTAAAATAACACTGTTGTAAAATACATACAAGTGTTAATCGATAAATGAAGTGTGCTACCTTAGTCTGCTCCAAAATGCAGAGATAGAAACATGTAATTTCCTCCATTTGGTAGCGAAAATCGGTAATTGAATTTTTAATATTGGAAGATTATGCACAAAGGAAGGAAACCTATTTGGTGAAACCATTGCAAACTGTCATGAGCACTGGAGATACGTTTAAGGGTAAGACTAGAAAGAACTTCCTTTTTTCTTGCATTGCCATAACAAAAGATCAAAGTAAACACACTTAACAATATGAAGCTACGGCTTTTTCTACACTTTTCTTAAAGCCCAGATTTGGCAAGGTCAGACTTCTCAAAATTAAAGTAAAAGGTTAATTGATATACAAGGCCAACACTTTCTGTCACTTACCAAAGCTCAAGACGCTATGCAAGAATAGATTGAGGAAGAACTGTTTTTCATCTACAAAATGCAAAAATGAATCAAACATTTGAAACAAGGTCTTGGTCTAAATGGTGATTACTCATATTCATTTGTCAACATAAAACAAATTTTAAAATGAATAGTATGACAGGTAGTTTTACTACCTCTTCCAATTTTATAAAAAGGGCAATCTTAGTTAGCAATTAACCCTCATACGATGAAATGGCTTTTAAAATTACAATTTTACTCAAAGATGACCGTATCGTGTTATAAAATTATAACAGGATAAAATTTGATGTATTATTTATATAAACAGTTATAACATATCTACAACATAAAATAAATTCGGGAGTAATGGCAGAATTTTTTATAGCAACGTAAAATATAACAAGTGTTTTACAATTCTAATTTGAACTTGATTATTTAAATCAAGAATACAGAGCAAGATATAATAAATTACCAAATAATTTGATACTAGACGGATACTACAAATGCCTTGCCAGGGTATACGTTGGCCAGTTGAGGGAGTTTACAAAACAAGGTGCTTGATGCGTCCACAACCATCATCATAGTGTGACCTTTCGGGTCGGCACCTCTTTAATGCCCTGTCAGGATTGACACCACCGTGTTTATCGGAACATGGAAGCGGAGACAGCAATTACTATATCACACTGCTGCGCAAGCGGTATCGTGAGTGGGCAGATGGATTTGTAATGTCAGCCAATCGAGAGACAACATGTGGAAGAGACTCGAACTACACTTAACAATTAACAAGGACTTAATTAAAAATAAATTGGATAAGATACAGAGTTCTAAAGTTGGTCGCAGAGAGAGAGAGAGTTCACATAGCGAGCACGAGTTGCATAAATACCTGGGGATAAAAGGTGATCTCCCGATGGAGCTCTCGTTGTTTGATAATAGTTCCGATGGTGATTATTTCCACTATAATATCCACTAGCACAATGATGGCACAAGGTATTCAAATGGGCTCTGGTCGACGATATTCCTCAAGTAATTGGTGCAGGTTTCCTTTGACAGAGGGACAGACGACGACTGACTTTTTTTGACTATCTCTGGCGATATTCACGGACGATATTGTCCGTGTAGAGGTTAAAAGATCGCGAGAAAGTGTCCTGTTGCCTTCAAGAAAATGTAGTGGGAAACTTTCTCAGGTAGCTACGAACAACAATTGTTATGTAACTCGAACAATATTAATATTAAAGTTTAGTTCGAATATAGGAATTTCTGCTACCTCACATCAATAACTGACGGTGGTTATAGCATAACGTTATATATACTGGAAGAAGAGATAGGACCAAAGGTCCAGATAGTGTAATTGGCAACGCATCCGCATAGTAAGTGGGAGTTGTGGGTTCAAGTCCCGCTCCTGACTGAATCTTTTCTTCCAGTAAATCTAAATTATTTAATTAAAATTAAAATTATTAATAGATAACACCTAATGCCTCCCTCTAGTATCAAATCATTTGGTAATTTATTAATATTATAGCCATTAATTAGCCCGAAAGTATATTGCAGTGGCTGGCTTTGGTAATACAATGTATTGGGTTTTAGTAGAGTCGTTTGTTTTTATATATTGTGGCATAGATAAACCACATCATATCTTCTCCCAATACTCTTATTTATTTTTTTTATTACATGTTATTAACAGAACTGCTATCTAAAACTTTCATTTAGAGAAATTCCTTAGTTTTAAAGTAAACAAATAACAATTTTTTTTAATTTGAAATTCATACCTGCAGGAATATCACAAAGAGCAAAGAGGCCCACTCGAGTATCTGCATTCACCATCCATTTCTGTGTTTCACAGTTTGGCTGACATGAATGATTCATAAAACGAGCGAGATTACCCTTAGGTCCAGCATCAATAATTCTGTCTTTGTCTAATGTGAGAAAATAGTAATTTGTGTCATTATCTTCGTGCTTCTGTTGTAGTCTACGTTCGCATTCTTCCTCGTCAATTAATTCTCCTACATATTCATTTACAAACTGTCCCTAAAAAAAAATTGTTTTGATGTTCAAAACCTATAACCATTTAAATAGTATAGATGCTGTGTATGTTGATGTATTTAAAATCACTTTATGGCTGTGAGAAAAATCAACCTATTAGGATTAAAGTGATTTTAAATACATCAACTATAACCATCTAAATTTTGATATTTCAAAATGTATTAATATGTAACATTCATGAAAGATAACTATTCTGAAAAAATTAAAACAAATATTTTACCTTTTTCACATCTTCTAATGTTTTCAAACCCCAACCTCTTTTCTCTGTTTTAAAAAATGCCGCAGGTACATATTCACGTTTCTGAAATCTTTGATTTTGACACCGCTCTCCCGCCGGACAGATGTTAGGGTGGCATTCAACCATGGTCATGCGATTGAGACAGTCGGAATCTTCTCCACAGGGATTTTCCGAATTGGGATCACATTCGCATCGATTGATGTGACTCAAGTCAAATGGATGGATCTGAACTTTACCGACTGGCTTATTGGACTAAAATAGACAAATTTTACATGCTTAATTTTTGTCATTATAAATTAAATTATTGTATTGATGTACAAAACTTTCTACCTTAATAAACTTATAAGATGGTGGCTTTGATCCGTTTTCTTGCGCTTCTTTGGCCTCTTTTGCTACCTGCCAGCTTTGGAAAGCTTCATTTGCTTCTTCAACAGCTAAAAACAATTAAAATCATATAAGAAATTATATTACTAATCAAATTACAATCTGGTCAAGTTGCCACCCTACATTAAATTTAGTATGAGACAGCAACTTATTCATCTACCATTAGCCCAAATTAGATAGCATTTATGTATTTAATTACCCAAATTATGATCCAATAAGAAATTTGGCTTCCTGTTTGATTACTGATATTTTAAAAGTATATTTAAACAAGCTTGGTCAAGCTGATCTGATAGCATGCTCCACAAAAGCAAATCAAATTTAGCTTAAAATAAATTTTATAAATTCTTGGAATCAAGTAGTTGTTGTGCTTCACATGGACATGCACAATAAATGGATTGAATGGAACATAACATTTAGGTAATGAAAGTGAAGTGATTGCGCATGAGTGTGGACATCTGACAGAGACAAAAGTCCCAACATAAGCACTTCACTACTATAGTGGAGCATGCTAAAAAAGGAAAAGTAGTAAAAATTTTTGTGACTTGTAATTTTTACAATTAATTAAGTGTGATACAATCTTGATAATCTGGCCATTTGCTAGTTTGACAGGTCCAGTAATCCTATATTAGTTGACTCTTGGGTATTACCAGCATTGTCGCCAAATCATAGATGAACTTCCCACATGTTCAAACCCTAGTTTCTACTAAACTCAAACACCTTCTCACTAAATGCATCATGATATCCAACTGAGCTCAAACACTTGAGTTTGTGCACAATATTAAAGATTGTTAAGGCCATCGCCATAAGTTTCTCAAAAAAGATACAGTATATAATAACACAACACCATAATAAATATTTTGAAAAATCATTTATCAAAATTTCCCACCAAAAATACTGAACCTCCCTCTGACTCAACAACACTGATTATTAGTGACAGGAATGCCTTTGGAAGATAAAACCAACTGAAGACAATTGAAAAGTATTTTAAGAAGATAGACAATTTGTGAACTCTAAAAATAGAACAACGCATGATTCACAAGATGATGTGATAAGAACATTCTACACATGTTTTTGATTAATACGATGTACTAGTGTGATGCAATAAACAAATGTTTTCTTTTTGAATGATTAAACCATTGAATTCACCTTCCAATAATCTGGTAATCTCCTTAATCTAATACTGTTCTGGTTGGACTACCAAGATTGTACAGAATAAAATATCAATAATCTTACATGGTAATTTTGTAATTTATTTTCTCAGTATAAGTAACAGTAATAGTACTTATTATTATTACTTTTACTACTATTGCACTATTTTCTTATTTATCAAATTATTCTCATGTCTTTGCAATTTTTCTAAGTTTTTGTCAGTAACTGTCTAACTGAAACGCTGAGCTTTTAAAGTTTATCCAAATATTTTGGAACTGGCATAGTTGTAAGATAACAGACATTATGGACTTTCAGCAAAATCATTTTTCACTCAACAAAATCACATATGCATCTGTTTGAGATTACCTCAAATCCTTCACAATTCATACTAGCATTCATATATGAGTACAGATTCATATTTGTACTAATGAAATTAACCAAATATATATATATATATATATAATACAAGATAGTGGAAGATGCAACAATTTAACTTTACCAAGTAGTAGCTGTGAATACATTCAAAGATAATTCAATGGAAAAGTGACTACAAATCCACATCAAATTTCTTAAAACTACCAAAAAGAAATTTACTTTTCATGCTATCAGGATAAGGACTAGAATTTTCTTCAAACTATTTAGAGAAGAGAGCAGGAAATCTTCAAAAGTAACTAGGCAATTTCTGTACTTTTTATTTTTTGACAGAAGTGCATAAAAATTACAGGGCACTATCATCTAAGATCTCAAAATGAATTGCCAAACTTGCACGCTCTGCTAAAAGTGTAAAATCGTGCTTACAATTCTCAATATGAGACGAGTGTATCATTCAGTCTTGTATTCATTTGAAAATCACTTCATTTCTAGTAAACAGTCACTTTTATGAAGAACTTTTTAAACAGAGAATAGTTTAAATAATGTTCTTATCATCAGAATATTATTATTATTTCTATTTTATTTTGCTAAAAATTAATTTAACTGACAGTAATAAAAACAAGTTGTTTGCTGGTATAATTTTGACAAAATTATACCAGCAAACATAGCTACCAACACTCAAACTTAATTTTTTTTAACCTAGTACATTAAATATCATCACAACAAATACCGTAATTGTACTAATTCCATAAGTACCTTTTTGGAATATTTTAGCCAGATTGCGATTGACAGAATGCTCTTTACTTCCTTTATCACCCTCTTGAAATAAAAATACTCTTCCTTTGTGTGTCCAATAATAATCATGTGAGCCAAAAAACTGCACTGGAAAGTCTCCAACATCATGCGACATATTCTGTATATTTAGTGGAACGTTTTTTGGATGGCATATTTTTGCCGGCCACCATCTTGTAAAACATTAAATTATTAATTTTATAACATAGAGAAAAATAATATATTATAAAGATAAATTTACATATTAATTACCTGTAACAGCCAAGTTTTACCCAAACTATATTTCCATATCTCGGATGTTTTCCTGCAACACATTCGTCGCAGTAATAACTTTCTTCGGGATGCGGTATGGCCAGGCATTCTATGTGAAATGCGGCAGGGCATGACTCACAACAAATTAAACTACCACCTAAAAAATATATACACAGCTTACATCAAATAATAATATAAATTTTTTTTCTTAAACATTAATCTGACAATGATTAAATCTGAGATTTCAAAGAAATTATATAACTTTTTTATAAACTTATAATATAAATATATATTATAACCTTATAAAAAAGTTATATAATACTATATATATATATATACATATATTATAAGCTTATTTTGTGCTTATAGATGTGTTTGAAACATTAAATGAGTGATTGTTGTTGTATTATTTAAAAGGTTGTTTTAAATAAAAGTTATTAAACTAATAAAAAAAAAAGTTATATAATTTCTTTAAAATCTCAGCTATATATATAGTAGCTGCAAAACATTAACAAAATTACATTACATTATTTGGTGAAAAGTGTAGTTAATGTTATGATATAATGTACTCATTGCCTTATGGCATTAGATACAACTTTTTATTAAAACTTGCAAGTACTTTTAATTAATAGCTTACAACTTCCAAGATTTAACTTGATTCCAATCGAATAAAATTGAATCTCAGAAGTTGTAAGCTATTTAAAGTACTTCCAATTTTGAATAAAAAGTTAAACGTTTCTAACACCATAAGACAATGAGTATGTTACATCATAATCTTACACTTCAAAAATTCTTGGACAAATAACTACAGTATTTTATTCTAAACCATTAATTGTTATGATTTAAAAAGAATCGTTATTGATAATGGACAAAACATCTTCAGTATGATATCAATACAATTGATTTCATTATAAATTTAGAACTGATTTTTCAATAGTGGATAGAATTAGACGATTTACAAAAGAAGCTTGTTTTCTTAATTCACAGTAATGACAATTTTCTGCAACTACTAATTTTTCACTGATTTGACTTAGCTGTGCCTTTGTCATATCCGAGTAAAAATTTTGGTAAAAAAATTTTTCTACTTATCACTGGCAATCAAAAAGTTATCATGGAAATTTGCCATCTTGCACATGCAATGTACAATTTTTTTTACATGATCACATGCATAGGTGATGATGATCTCCTTTGATGTCAATCACCAAAAATAACTTTCATGGAGGTCTCTCATGATTACAAGAGGTAATCGTGACCTCATTAGATGTTTGTCAGCTATACATAATGAAATGACATGGTGGTCTGCAAGTTGCTATGATCTTGAATGCTTGCCTCTATAGGTTAGCTTGAAACACTAGGACCTTCAACATATTTAAATATTTTTGCAACTCATTTTGCACCAAAAAAATACAGAAAAACCATTTTCTGGTCCTGAGAAACACCTTGCCCATCCCACTATTTATTTCCAGCTGAACTCATTTCACATTAGCCCACACTATTGTAAAGTTTGAAGGGATCCCTATGAGAAAAATCAAAGACAATGTTTTGTAAACAAAACAATGTATGGAATCAAAATTTGGCACATGCAGAAAAGACACACCACAGGACTTTTCAGAATTGCCATATTTGAGGAATGGCAACTGTGTGCAAAAAAGCAGCAGAAAATTGCAGTGTTATTCATGCAAGTAAGTTAAAAAATAAGTGCATGTGATCTTAAGTTAAATTTAATATTCCAGTCATGATTTCAAATATCTTTTGCATACTTAATTATAATTAAGGTGTGTTTCAAATTTATACGGGCACGAAAAAATTAAAGTGAAATCCAAATTTGCTGCATTAAGTGACAAATGTTTTATTAAAAATAACATGGATTTTCGTGTTTCCACACTGCAAAATAAGAATTTTAATCAACTATAACATTTTGTTGCTGAAAATAATATTTTTGAAAATCTTATACAAAAAAACTGTTACATATTTATCCGGACAGGCACTCATCTCATGACTTAAATAAAATATTGTTTAATTTCAGGCATTGAAATATGCAAATTAGCTTACATATCTAATTGTAATACAAATTCTTTATGTTGTTCAAACATTCTAAAATGGGTAGAACAAAGAATTTATCTGATCATGAAAAAGGGAAGATTAATGCCTATAAATCACAAAGCAAGTCAATAAGATAAATTGCAGTATTTATAAATCATTCAAAATCAATTGTTGGTGATTATTTATCAAAAAGATGTGGCTAGGATGTACCAAAATTCAAGACAGGTCCAAAACCCAAGCTTATACCTCGAGATTGTAGACAAATCATCAAGGTTTGCTTTACAAAACCAACATCAGTAAGAAAAATAAAACAAGAACTAGTCTTGCCTTGTAGCAGCACAGCAGTGTGGAGAGTTTTAAAAAAATCTCCAACGTTAAAATTCAGAAAAAAAGCTGTAATGCCACCACTTTCATTAAAGCACAAAAGTGACAGACTTGATTAGGCACAAAAACACATTACAGTCCAAAGAATGAATTGAGGTTTTGTTCAGTGATGAAAAACAATTCATCTTAGATAGTCCAGATGATTGAAAGTATTATTGGCACGATTTAAGAACCGAAAAACGAATATTTTCACAACGCCAAATGGGTAGGGGATCAATCATAGTGTGGGATGCGTTTAGATTCAATGGAACCACAGATTTAGCATTTATAACTCAAAGAATGAATTCAAAAAAGTATCAAGGCATGCTTGAAGATCATTTCTTGGAAGCTGGACCAAATATTTGTGAACCAAATTGGATCTTTCAACAAGACAATTCCCCTGTGCATGCCTTTAAATCAACAAAAATATGGTTTAAACGTAAAAATATTAATCTGATGACATGGCCTGCTAGAAATCCTGACCTGAATCCGATGGAAAATCTTTGGGGATGATGGTTCGTACAGTTTATGCTGATGGAAAGCAGTTTTCCACAATTCATGATTCGAAGGCAGCAATTTCAGATGCTTGGGATAAACTTAGGATTGAATTCCTTCAGAATCTAACTGAAACAATGCCTAATCGAGTATTCAATGTAATTAAGTTAAATGGTGGTTACATTGACCATTAAATTGTAAGAAAAACTTTGCAATTTGAAACCTGTCCGGATAAATATGTAACACTCTTTTTGTACAAAATTTTCAAAAATATTATTTTCAGTGACTAAATGTTAATGTTTGATTAAAATTCTTATTTTGCAGTGTGGAAACATGTAAATCCATGTTATTTTTAATAAAACATTTGTCACTTAATGCAGCAAATTTGTGTTTCACTTTAATTTTTTCGTGTCCGTATAAATTTGAAACACACCTTATTTGATATGTCAAAAAATTAATATACACACACACACACGATATTCACTTTAAAATTTATCCAAGTGTAAAACAGATCTTTTCAGCATCACACAAGTACATGCAGACAGTGCATTAGTTTCACTGCGATGTTTACAGTAAAATAAATTAATTCATTAAAGAAAGGGACATGTAACTTCTGCAAAAATAAAAAATGCAATCTTGACAAATTGTGGTGACGCATAATGCCAATGGTTTTTATAAAAGTGCCAACATCCTGCAGTCTGCTAATTGATAAAGCACTACTACTACTGCTACTGCTGCTACTACTACCTCTTTATACTCACAAATGCTACTATAAAATTATACTTTCACAATGGTACAAACAATACACATACTCATGCAATGCCAGAAATATATCTTTTGCATCCAGACAAATGATAAAGCAAACATCCCATATAACTCATATACAAGTACTTGCTCTTCAAACTGTCAATGAAAAGTTCAAACAAAATAAAATCCAATCAAATTATACATTACATTTCTTTATCATATTCTTTGACATAAAACCAATAAGAAAACAAACTGTCCAAACCAATCAAATTTAACCATAGATCATTTTAAGGCATCTTAAATAAATTTATTATTATTTATGAACTGAGTAGAGATAAATATTTGTTAAAATTAACATATAATACATACCTATTGAGCAAATAAAGCACCAGCTAGCATTTATACGTGACTGATATTGCTTTCCTTTCTTTGGTTGAAAATGATTTGCACATATAATTTGTGTTGAATTGATGTAAACAGAACCGGCAGATATGCAGTTATCTCCAGAGTGATATGCAACAGGACATCGTATACATCGTATTAAACGAGCTGAAATTTAAATTATTATTTTGTAATGGCTACATAATTAAGAAAATATATTACTATCATATTTTTCACAAAATTTTTAGTAAAACACCAATTAATTGATTTATTCCCCTTTTTGATAATGTTTTATAATGATAAGTAGCTGAAAATTGTTAAATTTAGTTTTTATTAATAAATCTATTAATGTAACACAACCAAAATGACAAATTAAATTTGCAATCTTTTGACTTCTCTACCATTTACGTTTATAAATCCAAATTAAATCCAATCCAATACAGTAGAGTCCCGAAAACTTGGCCTAATGTGGACCGAAGGGTGGCCGAGTTTGTGAAAATGCCGGGTTATCGGGAATGGGGTTAAAAAAGAATAAGAGTGTGGAGTCCTCAGAAAATACTGTACTGTACTTGTATGTATTGTTTGCTTGAGAATATAACAGAGAATAAACTGCTCAAATACCCTTAAACAGAGGAAAAGTACATACTTTATGAAGGCATAGAGCCATTACTACTTGAAAATGAAAATTAATGAATACACAGTGTACAGTAATTTACGTGATAAGAGAGACCTCAGAAAAATACTTAATAAAACATAAATCTGTCTATAATGAAAATTAACTAGGGGTTTTCTCGCTCTGTCAGGGTTTGGCCTAGTTATCCGGACTGCCAGGTTATCGAGTGTCGAGTTTTCAGGATTCTACTGTATAAATAAAATAAAAAATTATCTAATTTTTGGGTTGTAAAACATTGTTCCAATTTGTTAAATAACAATTTAACATTTTTTCTGTGTGTAAGTCATATATCACTTAACACTTCTTAATATTGATATTTATTCTTGACAAATTAAAATATCGATTAAAATTTTGCCAAATTAAGCTAAGCCGAATTAACAGTATATTTTCTACTTAGTTAAGAAAATCAATTTGCTAATTGCCAGCTAAATATGGGCAGTCCTCGACTTTTGAATGACTTGCTCTTTTGTACATAGTACCTTTTTATACTCTTAAATTGCTTTTTTTTATTTGGGTTTTCCAATAGTTTTAGCTTACATAACAAAATCACTCTTAAAACTTAACTTCCATTGTCTGTGTTCTGTTTCATCCATGCTTTATATCTATGTATCATTTTAACACTTTAAATAATGTTTTATGCATTATAACATATTCACTGTACAAAAATTAACTCTCCAATATTGGTAATATTTTTTTGGGTGTTTGATAATTATCGTTTATACTTTTAGGAATGCATCATACATGAAAGTCGAAGATTTGCCCATATTCAAAACATAAGTACATAATAAACGGATGTTTAGGGAAAATATCAAATAATTTTAAAACAAAAATTGACATAGATATTTATAAACCTATTTTATAATCTAATTCGCTTGTAAACTTTAATACCTTTATTACATTCTATCAATGAGTTACAAGATCTTAAAATGTTTAGCATGTTTTTTCTATTGGACAAACAGTTTTGACTTCTAATAGACCATTTTTCTGTTAAATGAATTAATGAATGAGCAAATTTATTACAACTTTTCTCTTTAATAAAGTATAAATTTATACATTTTTATGTTTAGCTATTTTGCAAATTATTACTTACTTCTCTGTCTATATATTTTAGAATTTTCAGCACAACATGTGAGACAAGAATGAAGAGGACAAGTTAAAGACTGTCCTTCCAACTTTGAAGTCAGTGGGTATTTCTTCATGCATTCTTCATGATAATATTTCCCACAGTGATTGGAAGAACATTTGATTGTGGTTCCATTATCTTTTTTACACGAAAAACATGTATGTTTACCTAAAATACAATATTTTTTTAATTAAAACAAACTGAAAAATTATTATACAAAAACAATACAGGTTAAATCAAAAATTATTCATTTATAGATAATAAATTTTATCTTGTACTTTCTACAGGAACAGAGACTGTTCCGTTACTTCATTCATAAGATAATTTGAATAAAATTTATTTGTATCATAAATATAAATTAAATACATAGGCAATGAACAGGTTAGATCTAAAAATTAAATTATAGTACATTGTAACTATCAATATATTAATAGTTTATTGAGGTTTACAATATGATTATGTCCTAAAAACCCAAGTCATTTATGCAACAAAATATCAAATAAATCTGTAATCAATAATTATTAAAGTTCAAATTATCCAATATAGATGATGTTACATACCTGTGATACATTCATCACATTGGAAATTGGAAGGAAGCTGAGTTAAACCTAAGCAAGCAGGATGAAATGATTGCTGACAGGGACCTTTACAAACAATTATATCTCCTACAGTTTCACATATTTGACAAATACGTTCGTGGCGAGTTGAAATGGGTATACTAAATTCGCTACCATCTAAAGGATCTTGCAATGAAGATGACTCGCTGGGACTCAGATCGTTTGGTTCCGCTTCCTAAAATAAAAACATAAATATAAGTATTACACATTTATATGAATATAACTTAATTGCAAAAACATTTTATATATTAATAAAATCAAGCAATCCCTAAATACTAAAAATATTACAGAAATTATTTTAATAATAATAGTAAAAAATTCTAAACTGTTTTTCTTGAAATAGTTCTTTGTTGCAAAAGAATTTTTTGTAATGAACTGTCTTCATTTTTCTCTTCTGTGAGAGTTTCAAATAATTATGGGAGTGTATTTGTATACAAAAATCTCGTAAAAAAATTTATGACTTTGGGTTAATAACAGTATATAATAGTTGCAGAAAAATACAGAGAATATTATTGTTCTTATTTTTATTAATGTGATTTTAAGATTCCTGTCAATTTAATATTTAGCTTCTAACTAGATAAAAAGCATTCATCAGCAAAAAGCAATAATGGATCAAAAATACATCTGATCCAACATTGCACTTCCAATATCCAAAATCCTTGATAGAAACATTTCTATCAAAGATTTTGAAAGACTTCTCTCCTGTCTCCTGTATAAATTTTTTTTAATTGTCTCATTTTCTAGTGTAGTTGTCTATTATAGGGAGTGAGATCTTCACTCAGAAATATACAGTAACTCCATATTTTGAATCAAGGCATTTCATCTTGTGCAGTTCAGACTTATAGCCTGAAGATGTCTGATTAATATGCAGGAAAACATCTACTAATATGAGCTTTTTTACAGTTTCTGCTGGTATTTTTTGTTTTTGTGACAATAGTTTATTAAAGTGAATCAGTTTTTAATAGTCATTATTTCTAACTTTCATTAAGAATATTAGAAGTACAGTGGAACCCCCGGTTAACGACCAAATCGGTTAACAAACTTTTATTTTGCAAAAATTTTGTCTCGGATAACGAACTTAACGGCTTTTTATGTCAAATTTGTAAGCTTGCCTACTTTTAGGGGAAATCAGTTAATCATGTGTTGGTCTAGGGTCCATTCATACGTTGGTGGTGGCAGAGGAGACAAAGATGAGAAGTATTTTACAGTGAAAATCGTTTATTAGGAAGGGAAGATGTTTACATATTTAAGGTGGTTGGAAATGGCTTATCTACAGTATTTTCTCCCGGCACTGAGGCATGGCGTATCGCTGGTCCTACGATAGTGCAAGTAGATCAGTCGTAGCCCCAGAGTGGACGAGATGGGTTCGCTTGATCACAGAAGCGATGGTAGATGACAGAGCTGCAACGACTGGAGCAGTCCGCAAGACACAACGCAAATTTTAGCGGCACGACTTCAGGCTTAATCCAAATGAAGACAACACAGATTAATCGCCATAGAATTTTTAGGAAAACTGCGTTTTGACCTTGAGATTCAGGGTTTTTATAGTATTTCTTCCTTGAATCTCACCTTACAATTAGTCCTACGTCCCATTCCTCGCTCCCCGATTGTTTTCTTCTTTGTCTCCAGGTGAAAACCGAAACCAGATCAGGTCACGAGAAAGGTTTGTTCCGAGGCGTTTATTTGACACCTGTTCATCGACTCTGATCGGAGATTGTTGATAAACATATAAGCCTTTCGCTCATAATTTAGCCTATTGTTTCTGCTATCTGTCATTTTAGAACTTTAATGATCGTACACAATGTTTTTATACCCGTCAAATCGTTCTCCTTTTCGGAAAATTTAACCTAGATCGACTGTTTATGACCGCTTCTGTCAGAGTTTCATCTTTCCCACAGACATTCCACTTGATCCACCTGATCCATTACATCATTCGTTTTCATGTCACGTTTGTTTTGACAACTATAGTACAGTTTTTTCCTTACTTCTCCCTGAACTTTAGTCCGACTTAACAATAGTGTTTTCGCTTTTAACATGTGGATATTAAATTATATTGGGTTGATGCAAAAGTTTGAACCGTTTTTTTGAAAAAAAATCAAAGAAAACCCATTTTATAAATAAAATTACAAAAATACTGACAGCTAGAACGGATTAATTGTATTTGCATTAATTACTATGGGAAAAATTGCTTCAGTTAATGAACAGACTCGTGGAACGGATTACGTTCATTAATCGGGGTTCCACTGTATTAGTAAATAAAAGAAGCTATTTCTCTAATTACATTAAAAAGTTTCGTTTGACTTGGATATTCCTTACTTTAACTAATATTATTGCTTTAAAAGTTGGGGAATCATTTTGATTAGTTAATCTAAGTACATTTCTTTTATCAAAAAGAAAAAAATGTCAGTATTAACTCAACACTTTATAAGCTATCTGGAAAGTTTTCATTTAATATTTGGAATTTCAAGTAATTCTACTTTTGATAGTAATTCCTTTTGTTTACATTACATTATAATTTTGCTGCATTTTTTATTTGGTTTTCTACTTTCTCTCAAAGATTCTTTTGGCTTATTATTTTTTCTTATAATTTCTTTTTTTGTTACATTCTAGGTGATTTATCTTTAATTCAGTTAATGCCAATTTGTTTAAACTTAAAGTAGTTTTGCAGTCGTTAGATTCTAATTTTTAGATTTAAAGTTAAGGTCTTTTTAGAGATATTCTGATTCATAAAAAATCTTTTGTAATGTACAGTACTTTGGAATAATGACAGAACTATCATTAAGTGGTTTAACAAATACATGGTAGAGAATCACTGCAGAGTTATCGATTCATTTCTAGTTTAGATTAAGATTTGGGATATGCTTTTTATAATGAAAGTAAATTCTTCAATGTAAATTACAAACTTATTCAATGATCGTATGATTTTAATCTTTTTCATACTACCTGTAAATTTTTAATCTGTATACATAGATATTTTTGTCATTAAAAAAACATATTTCGAGAATTACACCTAAATGCAAAATTTCCAGCAAAAAAACACCCAAATTCAATATTTGAATGTTTTTAGCCACTACTTTATCAGCCCTCTTACTCTTTGCTGGAAATTTTGCATTTAGGTGTGATTCTCTACATGTACAGTTCCAGTTTTCTGGTAAAGTTGTTGTTTAAAAAGCATATTCTGATAAATTCATAAATCTTATAATAAATTCTACAGAACTGTGATATTACTAAACAATATTGGTTAGTGTAAATCTCTAACCAATATTATAGTCGGCAAATACTGATAATAGGAAATTGCTTTTAAGCTGTAGAGAAAAAGAAGCCAATGCAATGTAATAAAACACAGATGCAATGTAATAAAACACAATAGGAACTGCTGCAAATTATGATTTTAATTTATTTGTCCACTTTTCACCCACTGTCTAATTTAATGTTATTATTAATCATTATAAAAGAATATTGCCATTCTAATTTCAGCATACTTAGATAATATTTTCAATAATATATTTTTAAATGCATTTGCAGCATTTTTTTACAAATTCTAAAAATCAAGATAAGTTCTAACAATGAAATTTTAGCATTTATGAATACATATAATAATAACAATCTTCCATTTGATTTCAAAAATAAACTAAGTAACTTAATTTATATGGATTTAAAGTCAAGGTCTTTTTTAGAGATATTCCAATTCATAAAAAAATCTTTTGTAATGTACAAGATTAGAATCATACAGTCTTTGAATAAGTTTGTTATTTACATTTAAGAATTTACTTTTTACTTTCTATTTGACAATCACAAATATAAATGAAAAGAAAAAATACAGAACAAAGAAATCTGAAAGTGAAATTAAAATGAATATTAATTTTAAAATTATATACCTGAATCTCGGTTTTACTCAATAATGATGAACCATTTAAATCCACTACATTTTTATTTAGTTTTTTATCTTTCCCAAACTGTTCTGAAGGATTTAATGAATTTTGCTTTTCTTGCTTAAGCAATGCTTTTTTGTCACTCTTTGACTTTTTAATAGAGTCTGTAGTTTGTTTTTTCGTAAACTCTGCATTATGCGTTGGTTCTGAATTCAAAGAATTTTGCTTTGCAGGTTCTGAGGTTACTTTTGACTCTGGCACAACTTCGGATTCCGGCAACGGCTGTTTTTCAAAATCTTGAGCACTTTTATCCGTCTCCAATTCCATACTTTGTTCCTTTTCCGATTCAGAAGAGCTCTGTTTTTTAAATGCATTAATGACTTTTTCTTTTCTTTTTGTTTCACCATCTACAATAAAAAGTTAATAAATATTTTTGTAATCTCAATTGCATGCTTGTTAACAAATTAAAATCAATAATAGATATTAATGTTCTGTATAAAATGAAATTAATTGATTGTAAATGACTGTTATTACTTTCTTTCGTTGAAAATTTTACAACAACAAAAAAAGACACTTGATTATCAAATAAATACAAGCTATAATGATATGAACTACTATGCGCAGAAATAACAAAATTAACACAAAATAAGACAATTTAACACAATACAGAGAATCGATAGCAACTGTTCTTTCCACTTCCAAACTTCAAAAATAACAAATCAATAGTCTGTGATCTTCAGAAGATTAAGCCACTTAACTTTCTTATCAACTGATACTAACTACTTAAAACTTCTTCAGAATAAATACAGAAAAGATGAAAGAATGTGTATTAATTATGTGCCAGGAGAACTGTTTTTCTACTCATGTTGAAAACAGAACAATGTTCAAGCACCATTAGATTTAGAATTCAATTAAATGTATCTTGCTTCATGCTTCAGACTGAAATTTGCCATAATTTTTCTTGTAAATAAAACATGCAATAAATATTTATATCAAATAAATTACTTCTCTTTAAATTTTAAAAAGTTCTCATTGTTTTACCTAATAGTCAAATAACAATCATAAATATTTCTTCTTGTAGACTTCATCACAGTATATAATAATTATGCCAATATTTTCCAGATTTTTATAAGTAAGCACAGTAAATTAAAGATTGAATATGTTTGGTGATAAATATATAAAATATTAGTTAATTATTACTGTATATGATTATAAAAGTAATAATTAAATAAACAGCAATAATTATACTCTAGAGTTCTGCAAACTGGTTTTAATGTGGACTGAGAAGGTGACAAGTTATCGAAAATGACAAATTTTACAGACTCCTGTGTTAACAGTAGAGAGAGAAACAAAACTGTGTTAAAGTCAAATTTAACCATTATTTCTTCAGTGGAAGCATATTGCCAATCCATAAGAAGTAAGAAATTCCATTAATTGTTGCTATTGTAATACATGCAAATAACAATTAAAATAGCATTTAAACCAAAGGTTAAGACTGTTAACAACTTCATACTATAAAATGACGGTAACGAGAAAAAAATTGTTTTTATCACGATGATAAATAATCAAAACTGATTAAAACTACTATAGTTGAATAAGTATGTTTTAACTTATATGTTTTGAAACATGATAAGATTAAATGACTGATAGCAATTATCAAAATTACAATTATTTTTGAATAAATTTAAATTGTTAAGATCATTTTTGATGAAATTTGAATCAATTTTATTTATAATAAATGTATGTTTTGGTTTCTTGATTAACTTTCTTTGTTTATGTATTTTTTTTATCAATACAGCTTTTCAGCACATTATTCTCAATCATTATAATAACTTCTAATGATACTATATAGATTTTCTTGATGGATCAAAATTCATCAGAAAATATCCATCGACCCCCTTCCAGCTGAAAAATTTACTTATAAAGCATTGTCTTTTTTTAATACAAATAAATCCATTGCAATCTCTATATGGAGAAACTCAAGTTAACATCAGTATCATCAATTGACAACCATACATACAAATATTTTGACTTAACATGATAGCTGAAATAATTTAAACAGTATATATTTATAATGTATGTAAAACTAAATATTTATATTTTAAAAATTACCTTTATTATGATTCTCTCTTGTATTATTAATACTTAATCTACTGGTATATCTCGCTCTTTCTACTTCTGTCATTCTATCCCAATGTAAATGCAAATATTCCTCTAAAGCCTCTTCACTGAAATCAGGATGCTGAAGTCGGGCTATCGGTAAATGTCTATGAAGGAAAACAGAAAACTGTCCTTTGGATTTTTTCTTTCTCGAAACTTGAATTGGTTTTACTTGCTTGTGATTACTTTGAACGTTGTCTACATTATTGTTTTTAATATTTGCATGTTTTTGCCTTTTCACACTAGAGTCATTCATAAATTTAGGCGATTTCACAACCGAATCGGAATTTTTGGAAGATTTCAAATCTGGTGTCTGATATACAGACGCATTTCGATATAAATCTAATACATATAAAAAATTAAAATAAGGAAATTAGTAAATTTCTAAAAATAGATTCTTTAGTTAACACACATAATTAGAATAATAAAAGGAGAACCTTTTTTTGTGGAAGTTTTCTTTGTATTAATATATTCGAAAGTTAACTGTTGCTTCCTTTCTGTCCTTGTCATTTTAAGAGCATCTTCGGCTTCTTCCACAGCTAATAACCAAGCATCCTTTCTGTTTGACTGAAATTTAAAAAACTAAATTAATATTTGATTATGATTAATAATATATTATTTTAAAGTTCTTAGTAAAATAATTTTGTTATGCAAATATTCTTTCCAGTAATAATATTTCACCACATACATTTGTAAAATTTTTTCTGCTCTGAAAAGGCAAGTTAAAAATTTATTTTCTTGAATCATTCATTAAATGAAGCCATAAAGAAAAATCATGATTGATATATAACTAAAATAAAAACTTAGAAAAATATTTTAAAACTTGAAAAAACAATTATTTATTGTTTATTTCTATAGGGCAATGCAACACGTGGGCAATCTGATAAAGGCAGTGCCTCCTGGGAGAATCTTCTATGAGAAACTGGCCCCATTTAGTGTTACAAACATGAAAAAAACCGAGAAAATCCATATGGCCATCCCAATGGCAAGATGCAAACCCACAAGCAGATAGAGCCACTTAACACTGAACAAATGTGAAAAATGTTTAATTCAACCAATAGGACTGATTCTTTTGATTGAGTTAAAAAAATTGCCTTAAAAAGTCTGGTCTTTAAAGAAGAGAAATAATACCTATCATCAGCAGATAACAAATGGATACTTTTATCTAATTGAAAAACTTTATATTTTTACATAAGAGAACAACTTTTATAATATTAAAACAAAATTTTTGTTACATTATTATTAAAATGTTATGTCATAATAAATTATTACTAACATTTAATTAAATAAAAGTGCTAATTTGATAATATACAGTAACTGATACTGATCTGCAGAAAAATGCATGAAACCCTTCAAAATTTAAACTTTACACATTTTTGTGTGTAAGATAAGATAGAGCTTTGAACATAATTTTCAATGATAAATTTTAAATAAATACAAACACATTTCTCACTTATCAAACTTCTGTGTAATTTACCATTTACATCATTGCTTCTTGATCCTTTCTTTTCAACAACCATGAAAAATGATTATAAGAAATTGTCAACCGTAACAATAAAAATAGGCTTTGTTTTAAATTTTGCTAATTTTTTAAAACTGTCTCTTCAGTTTTGTTTATTTTCTAACTAGCAGACCCCGCCACGCATTGTTGTGGCTCAAAATGTATCTATTATAAATTTATAACACTTCCCCATGGAAAGGAAAATTTTCAAAAAATTTCTTCTTAGTGTACATTCTGTTGATGTATCCTATTAAAACGCAAAAAACCGCATCTAAAATAGTATAAATAGAAGCAGGGTTCTTTACGGTAAGCCTTAATCCTAACCACCTCCCTTCAGTGGGGGGAATTTCGACACATATATTATATAAAAACACGTGTGTATTCAAATGCAGCGTTGTGTCAAAATTTCAAAGGAATCGGTATGAACAAACAAACATTACATTTTTATTTATATAGATAGATAGAAGATGATCTGCTTTAGTTCATTTTCACAGAAAAGCATAATGCCTCACAGAAAAGCAAACTTAGGGCATTGTACTCGTAGCTGTTGGACATAAAAGCCTTAACCTAGATTATATATTTTAATTTATATGAATGTTTAACGGAATAATATACAGCCTATGTCCACCCTGAGGTTCCATTCTAAATATTGGTGAAAGAATTTTTGAAATCG